CGACCGGGAGCAGACAGCCTCATTTTTTTTTAACTTTCCTCCTTTGGAGCAGCTGGTGGGTTTGAACCACCAGCCTTGTGGTTAGTAGTCCAACTCGTAAGCCACTGTGGCTCCAGGAGACTGGGGTTCAGTTCCCGGCCAGTGTCCTACTTCAGCACAGTTGCTGTGCAGCTCTCAGGCGTGCACACAGCTGTGATGCTGGACCGGTTTCAGCAGAGTCCGCAGACGGAGAGAGATGAAAAAGAAAAAGAAAGGAAAAAGCCTGGGCCTCTGCTCCCAAAAACCAGCCCCCAAAACTCAGTGGGCCACTTCAGTTCCATCTCAGCCCTTCGGGAGATGGTGCAAACCGGGCAGCCTTTTCTTCTCTCCTGCATGGGGTGACCATAAGTCAGGGCCAACTGCCCAGCAGCTAACACCATGCCAACAACCACGTACGCACCGAGCTGCCTGCTGGGAGCAGTGAGACAGAGGCCCTGGCCTCAAGAGCAGCGCCAAACGTTTGCAGAGCGCAGAGAACACTCGGTCTGCATTCTCGCATCTGTTCCTCACAGGGCACTCTGTGAGGTGGCGGCTCATACGCGCCACATTTGACAGACAGAGCTTCAGCAACTTGCCCCAGGTCACACCCTCACTTGCGGGTAGAGCTCCCACGTAAGCCCAGGTGATCTAGCAGTCTCCTGCACCTACAAGTCAGTCTAGCAGCAAACTTCGCCGTGTGTCAGGCTCGCCACACAGCACAGAGCGAAGCAGGACACAGGCTCGGGGAGCCTGGCTCTGCCTTGTGACCTGGAACAGAGGAGCCCAGCGGGTTAAGCACTCAGCTGAAAATGGAAAGATCGGCAGCTCACACACACAGGGGAAGGATGGAAACCCCACGGAGCAGGTCTACTCTGTCCTGTAGAGTCAATTCGAGTCGGAATGGGCATGATGGTGGTGGGTCTACCCTTGGACAAATCGTTAAGCTCCTCAGGGAGCCAAAATGAACAAACGAACTCACTCACACTGCTAGCGAGTCAATGCTGACTCACAGGGCAAGGTCAAACTGCCCCTGTGGTTTACAGGAGGAGAAAGCCAGCCTCCTATTTCTCCCTGGGAGCAGCCTGATGGCTGCAAACTGCTGATCTTGCAGTTAGCTGCCCAATGTATAACCATGCCACCAGGGTCTTTTCATTTCCCCAGTCCGTGGGAATAAAACTCTAGTCAAGCCATGGCGTTGCTGTGAGGATTAAAATCGAATAAGACCAGGCTTAGAACACTGTCCGAGGCCCAGGAAGCACTCTACAGCAGTGTGAGCATGAATCCTTGGACACGTCAGATTATGATACCCCATTTCACAAGTGGGGCTTTGCGGCGAGGAGAGAGCCCATCACTCACCCAAGGCCACAGAGCTGGGATTCAAAGCCACGTCTCTGTGAACCTGCCAGCAGCCTCCGAAGCACACGCTCCTCACCGTGAGCCTGACTGCTCCCTGTAATGGGGACCCGGTTTGTGGAGTCCTTCAGCGACTGCGAGGATGATTCTGCCCTCCCCAGAGCAGTTGCTGCCCTGAACACCGAAGCAGAGATAAGGAGAAACCAAAGAATCCTATAGAATTCCTACCCCAATGTTAGCCTGAAGAAGCCCCACCACCACCACCACCCCAAGTCTCTGCGTGAGTGTATGTGTGTGTGAGAGAGAGAGAGATGGGGTGGCAATTGGGATGAGCCAGTCTGGGAAAACAGGACAGTCTTCCAAAAGCAGCAACTAGACACAGGCCGCGGTCACCCCACACCCTACTGTCTATCCTCAGCTGAGCGGAGCCAGCAGGCCCCAGTCAGCTGCCTCGACAAATGAATAAACACATAAATTGTATGGGAGAGCTGGCAGAGCCACAGAGGGAAAGGCAGATACCAAGACTGCATGAGGAGAGGAAGGGCCAGCTCCAGACCCCACCAAGGTGGGGGGAGGAGCCAGCATTCCAGAGATGGGCATGAGCAGCCACAGCGACCCCCTGGAGTAGAGAAGGGCCACACAGGAGGGAGGAGAGAGGGCGGCTGGACTGGTGTGTTCCAGCCACCCAGCATCAGGTGAAGGGAGGGGAGGCAGATCATCTCTCTCCTCGCAGACTTGGGTTGGGAGCAACGGGGGACAGGCTGCATTTCCACGTGGTTCTAGAACTCGACTTCATTCTTGGCCCTGGCCGGCAAATGGAGGGGGTAGGGGAGTGTCACACCCGGGAGGCACCCACATGTGTGAAACTGCGAGGCCACAGCCCTAAGCATTCCCTGGCGTTGGTAGTCTCAGCTCCAGCCAGGAGGGCAGCTGTGGGGAGGGCCGAGGGAGATGCAGGACCGCTGGGAGGCCGGGGCGCCAGCTGACAGGATGGGGAGCCAGGAGGCCCATGTTCCCCGGAGCTGTGCACACGGCGCCTGGCCTGGGCCAGGCTAGCACCCCACAGCTCTAGGGGTCCTCGTTAGGCTCATTAGCAGCCATATAACAACAGGGGAGTGGCATGGGGGATCTGATAATTAGTCTACAGATGGGGTGGGCAAGCCCTCCTGGGGTGGGAGAGGTGGGCACCCATGGGCAGTTTGCTCCAGGAGGGCCTCCGGCCTGCATGCAGGGTGAGAGGGCTGAGTCTGGGTCCCGTGGGAACAGGTAGCCTCCACCCCCACCCCCAAACCTGGGGCAGCACCCCACTGGGCACACACACACACTGGTGTTGTGACAGTCTGCAGACTCACCCAGCCCCGAGTTTCCACTGCTGAAACTCCGTGTGGGCAGGGTCACACTGGAAAAATCTCAAGCAAGTTAGGAAACTGAGAACCCTCAGGACTGGAGGGCAAGCCCTGCCAGGCCCCTCGGGCAGCTGGGGAGAAGCCCACCCCTTCTGAAGCCATTGGCTCCAGCCTCATTTCAGAACTCAACACTCCACTGGCTAACACTCTCTTCCTGCAGAGGCTAAACTCAACAGAGCAAAGCAAGCTCAAATTTCCTCTCCTTTCCCACCCCAACTCCTCCCCAGGCCTCCAGAGTGCCCTAAGGCCCTGCTCAATGAGTAAGTATGGTTGACCCCAAAGCCTGGGAAGTGGTTTTCAGCCCTGCCTAGAATCATCCAGAGAGGCTCTGAAACCTCTCCGTGTCTAGGTCTGATTCCCAGAGCCTCTACTTCTTATAAAACCACCCATACGTGCAGTCTCTACCCTTCTGAGCCAGCCAGTCAGAGCTGATACTGAGCCCCAGTTCCTCCACGAATGAACTGTGTGACCTTGGGCAAGTCGTCCCCGCTCCGGGACTCACTTTTTCACCTTTAAAATGACGAGGATCAAGTTTCCCTGCCCCTGCCCTCCCGAGTGCTGCAGTGGGTTAACAGGTGGGCTTGCTACCCACAAGGTTAGCAGTTCAAAGCCACCACGGAAGAGAGATGAGGCTTTCTACCCCACCAAGAGTCACTGTCTCAGAAAGCCACAAAGGCAGTTCCACCCTGCCCTGTAGGGTCGCTATGAGTCAGCATCCACGCGATGACAGTGAGTGAAGTGAATTCCAAGCAAAGAGGGCTTGACACCAGAGAACCCACCCCGCTCACCCCTGATCCAGCTCCCCAGAAAAGGAACCACTTTCCAGGCAGAAGATGGGCTTGCTGTTAGGATTTGGGTTTCCACATCTGGAGGTGGAGAGGCATGGCCCTACCAGGACTACATCTTCAGAGTGGGAGAGGGGCAGGGCCAGGAGGTGACTCCGGCTCTCATCCCTCAGGATTGAGTGCACCCCAGCTGGCCCATGCTCAGCAGGCAATCAATCCATGTGGGGAGCTCCCAGATCTTGCTGCACACCTTGCACTGCGACAGTGGAGGCCTCACACAGTGCTGGAGGCAGGAAGGGCTCTTGGCAGCACTGAGGCTTTGCAGATGCAAGAGGGACCATCAGGCAGCATCCCCAGGTACTGCCACGAAGACTCAGGGAGTCGGAGGCAAAGAAGAGCGATCCCTAGAGTTCCTTCAGTGCCCCAAGTCTGGGGAAATTCTATGCTCCAGAAAGTGCCAGTGTGCAACTGCTGGGGACCAGCCCCAGCTCCGGCCACGCAGAGGGGTGGCCATGTTGGCTAACCACGAAATCCCATGAGAGCCGTGAGCGCTTCGGGATTCCTGGCCTTGCATGTTTTCTCCCTCTTTGCTATCGCGATGTATTATGGGAACTATTCCTCCTCTCCTCCTCGGCCAGGTTCCACCTTCTACGGGTTCCTGCGATCGGAAGTTTTATTGCACCTGCTTTGTAGGATTATCGAAGGAGGTGTGGGAAGGGGCTGGCATTGTTGGGCACATAAAAACAGTCCGCTGGTAGCTAGTCTCAAAACAAAAGAAAACAAAAAACGCACTGCCATTGGATCAATTCCGACCTTCAGAGACCCTCTGGGACAGGGTCGAACAGCCCCGTGGTTTTCTCCGGAGGAGCCGCTGGAGGTTTCCAACTGCTGATCTTGTAGTTTTAGCAGCATAATACTTAACGCACGACCACCAGAGCTCCTGGTGACCAGTAGGAATGGTGTAACTGCAGTGGCCAGCCCTGCGTGCGGGACTAGTGTGGCAGTGGCCGTGGGAGGCACTGTCATAATAAGATCAGCTCCGTACTGGTCACCGGTCACTGTTGCTGGTTGTTTTAAACCTGACTCCAGGCTCCCTCTTCATCACTCCAGGGTCCCTACGTTCTGATGCCAAGTGTCCAAGTGTCTTACTATCCCGTATCTTCCTGCGGCTCCCTTCCCCATCTGTGAATATGCTGAATTCGTGCACTCCGGAGTCCAGCTACCCCACCCCCACCCTACCCCACGGCTGATTATGTTTGTAAGTCGCTTGCAAGGTCTTTCTTCCAAGGTGTGTCTGGGTGGACTTGAACCTCCAACCTCTCGGGCTGTGTCCCAGGAGGCAACTGGGACGACGGTTCTAGTTCAGGTTCTGGAGTCCCCACGGCTGGCCACCTCCCAGAGTCAGACAGGTGGGCAGATGGGGGGAGGAAGCACTCACGTTTGATACAGTGACTGGTGCTATTGGACGTCGTCCATCCCGGGCAGCACTGTCCCCCGCAGACATTCCTCCTGTGGGATCAGCAGACCAAGTCAGCCCAAGGATGATCAGAGTTGGGACGTTCACGGAACCCCTCCCAGAGCCCCACCCACCCAGGACCGGCAGGGTCCCGGGAACCAGCAGGAGGCTGGGCTGCAGGGGGCAGGAGCAGAGACAGGAGCTCTGGGGTCAGGCAAACCTAAGGCGGAATCCTGACTCTGCCATCCTCCATCTGCTCCTGAAGAATGATGGTAACTTCTCAACCTCACTCTCTTCATCCGTAAAATAGAAAACACAATGCCTGGCTAGCTGGATCATTCTCCTAGCGACCCTCTAGGACAGGGAGAACTGTCCCCTGTGAGGGTCTAAGACTAACTCTTTATGGGAGGAGAGAGCCCCCTCAAGGAACCAGTACACCACCGGGGCTCCTACAGGCTCGCTAAGAGTCAGAATCAACTGGACAGCAGTGAGTCTGGTTTGGGGTGTAACTGGGGGGATAGCTGGGTGGTTGCCATGACTCAATGAGAGAAAGCTGGAATGACCTTGGCTGATGGGAGGACGGCACACAAACTTGTCAATGAAGAGAGAGGCAATGATAGAAAAGCAAGAAGTTCAGAGAACTGTAAGGGGACACAGCAGAGGCCGAGTTAGACCACTCTGAGCCCCGCCCTAATTCTCCACTGCCTCCGCCCAAAACAAGCACCCTGCAAGTACCGACATCCCAGAGAGGCTGCAGGGTGCGCCAGGACAGTCTTCACCGGTGACGAGAGTCCCATTCCTGGTGACCCGGGTGTGTCCAAGTCAACCTGCGCTCTGGGGGGTTTCCATGCTCACCAGGCCTTTCTTCCAAGGAACTCTGGTGTGGACTGGAAGCTCCAGCCGCTCAGCAGCTGTTATACCATGATACCAGCAGTCACCCGTTACACCATTCAGGAGCTCAAACCAGGCACAGGGACAGATGTGTTACGTAGCAACAACTGTGCCTGGACAGCTGGTGCACAAAAAGAAAGAGAAGCAGACTGAAGAACAAGGCCTCCAGCACTGCTGTGGAAGCTTGCGAGGGGACAAGAGGGTGGAAGAGGAGGCTGGGACCTCGGGCCAAGTGCCCCTGCTGAGTGAACAGGCGCTCTTCATTTGAGGAGGCTTTGGCAGCCCGAGTGGCACAGTGGTTGCACGCTGGCCTGCTAACTGGCAGGTCAACAGTTCCAAACCATCAGCTGCTCCGAGGGAGAAAGACTGGTGGTCCCACTCCCGAAAAAGAGTGACACTCTTGGAAACTCACAGGTGTGGTTCTACCCTGTCCTATAGGTTGCTGTGAGTCGGCATCGACTCAATGGCAGTGAGTTTGGTTTGGGGAAAGGCTACTGTGGTGGCCAAAGGTGCCCTGGTTACACAATAGGCTCATAACTTTAAGGGGAGCAGTTCAAAACCCCCAGCGACTCCGCTGCCTCGTGCCAAAAATCAACCACCCCGCAAATGCTGACATTCAGAGAGGCTGCAGGACATGTTAAGACAGTCAAACCAGTGGTTCTCAACCTTCCTAATGCTGCCCCCCTTTAATACAGTTCCTCATGTTGTGGAGACCCCGTGTGTGGGCATATCTGCATGTGGGCAGACCTGCCTGGGGACGGATAGAGGAGCAGTGCCTCGGTTCCTAAGGCCATCGGAAATATGGTCTTAGGCGACCCCTGTGAAAGGGTCGCTCGACCCCCAGGTTGAGAACCGCTGGTCTAAACCCAGTGCCCAACAACGGTTGCAGCAGCACTTCGACGGGGAGCTGCCAGAGACTCAGGTCACATTCAGAAGAGGACGTGGAACGAGGGATAGCATTGCTGACGTCAGATGGATCTTGGCTCAAAGCAGAGGCGACCAGAGAGATATTTACTTGTGTTGTATTGACTATGCCAAGGCATTCGATTGTGTGGATCATAACAAACTATGGATAACCTTAAGAATGGGAATTCCTAACCACGTTATTGTGCTCATGAGAAACTTAAGAGGCAGTTGTGGGAATGGAAAAAGAGAATCGTGCACAGTTTAAAATCAGGGTAAGTACGCATCAGCGTAGGCCCTCAAGGACACGGATTGACATAGCGGCTACAACGATGGGTGCAGGCATAGGAACAACTGTGAGAGTGCCGCAGGACCAGGCAGTGTTTCGTTCCATTGTGCCTAAGGTCACTGTGGGGGGAGCCGACTGGATAGAACCTAACAACAATAGCTGCTCCCAGGGAGGAAGATGAGGCTTTCTACTCCCATATTAAGTGATCGTCTCAGAAACCCACAGGAACTGTTCTACCCTGTCCTGTAGGATCACTATGAGTCTGCATCTACTCATGGCAGTGAGTGAATGTGGTGGTCTTTTTGGTGCTGGCATTGAGGGCACCAATGTGAGACTATGACCACTCACCAACCCATCCACCCTTTGTCTCCAGGGTCCTGCTGTCCGGTGAGTGCCCAGGGCCAAGCCAGATGCTCCCAGAATGCCTTGCATACCAGCAGGTTCCACATACACCTGAGTGCCCATCTAAAGACGTCCCAACAAGGGCTCTTCCTGGAGAAGACCCCAGGAGGACTGCTCATTGGTCCAGCAGGGGCCTGGCTCTGGCCTCACTGACCCCATTATTGTCACCAGCAATTGTCCAACGGCCACCACTGCCACTAGAGGAGGCATGGAGAAATAGAGGGGAGGACAGAGCAGGGTGGCCATCCCTGGGAGCACAGCGACCAGCGTGGTAAGCATCTGGTCCCGCTTAGGAGTTTGCTTGACATTTGAGTGGCCCCCAAAGCCTGTGTGGTTTCTGGAGCTTGGCAAAGAATTCAAAATAAATTCCTGCTGCTTGCAAAAGCTGAGGCCCGTGTCTGGCCTTTGGGCCCAAAATTGTGGGGAGCTGCCTCCAAGGGAGCACCCAGAATGCACCAGCGACCCAAGCTGTGCCAACCTGGCCCTCTGGAAGGGCTGCCGCCTAACAGCTTCCTGAGCTGTGAAGACCTCCTCCCTTTCAGGCCCCACGTCACCAGGTGGGGGGAAGGGGCTAGGGATTCTGAGTGTATGCCCTGGTGGAAGGGGGGAAATGCCCCCTCCATTTGCAAGTCACCATCACTGTGGTGGTGACAAGGTCTCTTCGAAAGGACTGCATGGCCCAGAAGTTTCTTAAGAACTCAGGCCTATGGGAACCCAGAGAGCACAGACAGCGGGCCCTACCTGGCCAGGGAGGTCATGGCACAGGGCCCAGCCCTCCAGCCAGCAGTCACCTCAAATACCTTCAGGATAGCTTTGCAGCTGATTGAGAGGGCAGTAGCCAGGCCTGCCCAGCCTGCCCGGACTGCAGCCCCGCCTTCACAAAGCCAGCATGGAAGGCTTCCAGGCTGAGAGCACGGCTGGGGTTGAAGTGGGACTCAGACACCCAGGGGAGGTGAAGGGAGGTGACAAGTTGGGAGGAAACCATTCTGGGGGCTTTGCTAACTGGGGAGACCAAATGAGCTGCAGTCAACCCAATGACAGCTCACAACAGCATCCCCCGGGACACGTGCCCAGTGGCTCTGACTCGCTGGAGGGTGCCACTCGGAGACCGTATGTGTCCAAGTTTCCAAGTGACACCATTCAGCTACCATGAGCTAAATGCCCAGCCCTGGGGAGACATCTGGCTAGCAGTCTGCTATAGCCACTGTGCAACCTAGGACACACCTGATCACCCTGGTCCTTTGTGAAAACACCCCCTGGGCCCCCCATTGCTTGCACGAAGCCAACAGCCTGGCCCCCACTTACCCGTGCATCCTAATTCCCGCCCCCCTCAGCCTCCTTCATCTCCATGAGCACCCACCACGACAACAACAGTGACCTTCTAGGGTCACAAACTTTGCCATCACAGATGCCCTTGCTGCAGCTGTTCCTTCTCGCTGCTCCTCTCCTCACCACTGGAGCCCTTTGCTTACGCCAAGACTTCCGGGTCAAAGGTTGCCTCCTTTGTGTCAAGCCTCCCATACATCTAGCCCCCTCCCCCTCCCCCTCACTTTCCACCATGATCATGCCAGGCTAATGGCCTCAAGTTCTTGGCTGGGTCTGTCTCCCCTTCCTGGGGTACCTGCGGGGTTCCCACTCCTTCCTCTTTGTGGGACACAGTGTACTTTTAAGACCAGCACGAGGTGTACTTTTAAGACACACCAAATCCAGTGTTTCTCCAAGAGTGGGAGGGGGGGGGTAGGTTTAAAGCTGCATCCCAGTGAGTGATTCCCTTCCAAGGAGGAACTCAGCTGAGAGCGTGGCCCTTGGAGGCCCCACCCACACCTGCCTGCCTCCCTTTGCAACAAGGTGGACTGCCCCTGGGTTGAGCTTCCTGAAACAATGGGGTCGGGCTACAATTTTAAGCCATCTTGTCCTTATTTCTATTTTGCCTCCTGTTACCTCCTCTCTATGGCAAGTGACACGACTCGCAATTTAGGATCGTGATACAAAATTTCCTTTGAACGAGAATTTATTTTTGTAGAGAGATGAGTCAAGCAAGGTTTGTAATATTGGGGGCAAAAATGTAATTCACCTAAATGGCCAAAAACAGGAGGCCCGATAAATAAACTGGTAGATTCAGACACTGGAATAATATATAACGGTTAAAATGAACACACTTGGGCTAATTACATGACTGTGGTTCAAGCTCAAAAGCTCAAATGAGGAAGGGAAAGAGACACTTGTGGAAATTTGGTAGCATACAATGGTACCACTTAGAGTTGTTTAAAGTGTGCAAAATCGAGACTGTGCCTGGGAGTGTACCATGGAAGCATACATGCAAGCATACATGGGAAGAATCAGTAAATTCAGCATCAGAGTTAACTCGGAGAGGGAGGATGGCAAATGTAAAGGAGAAACACCAACTCAGTGGTTCTCAACCTGCGGGTCTCGACCCCTTTGGGGGTTG